TCTGTCCCCCTCACCCCGCCGTGACCCCAGCGCTGCTGCTGGCACCACATCTCACCAGGCGTGCGGCGAGACCGCCACGGCCAGCGTGGGGCAGTGGCCATCAGCCACGCACACCTCCACGTCGAACACCAGCGCCCGCTCCTCGGGGAACTCCACGGGCTCCGCTCGCCCGTCGGGGCCGTAGCGGGTCCAGCCCAGCCTCCACGCCCACTGCTCGGGCAGCGGGGGCAGCTGGCAGCGCAGCAGCTCGTTGGCAGCCTCCAGGTAGGGCAAGCTCTGCTTCTGGGCCAGCAGGCGAAAGTGCTCGTCGATGTTGTCGCCGTACATGCGGGGCAGCTGCAGCTCCACGTCGGGCAGYGTGGAGGTCTCCTTGCCCCACAGGTCGTGGCGCCGCAGGTGCTCCACGCTGCGCCGGACCTCCTCCGCCGAGTAGCGCACCCGGGCGCCCCGGAAGATCTGCTCGTGGAGGCTCCTGGAGAGCATCTGGATGTTGAGGGGGTTCATGCGCCGCTGGTTCGTGGCYGGCTCCTGGCTGGGCTCCTGCGGCTGCGGGCGGCTGGCCGAGGAGCTGGAGGAGGGGCAGCGCCGGGGCTGGGGGCTGCAGCCCCGCACCGAGCGCATCCAGGACACGCGTCTCATCGTGCTCCCTGCTGCAGGATGCGCGCCGGCACGGGCACCTGGAGCTGCGGGGGGAGAAAAGGTGAGGGGTGAGCTCAGCACTGACCACCATTGTGGTTACCTTGCCATGCACACACTGTCCTGAACAGCCGTGCAACCTCTGTACAGCCATGTCCCCACATAACCGTGTTCCCCATACAGCCATGTCCCCACATAGGCATGTCCCCATATAGCCATGTTCCCCATACAGCCGTGCCCCCCATACAGCCGTGTGCCCATATAGCCGTGCCCCCATACAGCTGTACTCCCATACAGCCATGCACCCCCCTGTACAGCCGTGTCCCCATTCAGCTGTGTCTCCATACAGCCGTGTTCCCCATACAGCCATGCCTCCCATATACCTGTGTCCCCATACAGACATGCCCCTATCCACCTGTGCCCTCCATACAGATATACCCCCATACACCTGTGCCCCCATACAGCCGTGTCCCCCATACACCTGTGCCCCCATACAGCCGTGCCCCCATACAGATGTTCACCCCCATACACATGTTCTCCCCGTACAGCCGTGCCCCCATACAGATGTTCTCCTCCATAAAGATGTTCTCCCCATACAGACGTTCACCCCCCGCACAGCCGTGCCCCCATACAGATGTTCACCCCCATATACGTTCTCCCTGTACAGCCGTGCCCCCATACAGATGTTCTCCCCCATAAAGGTGTTCTCCCCATACAGATGTTCTCCCCCATACAGATGTTCTCCCCGCTCCCACCTGCTCCCTGCGCGGTCCGCCGGGCCCTGGAGCGGCGGGCACATCCAAACGGGGCCGCTCGCGGGAGCTTCCGGCCCTGGTGACGTCCCGTCCGTCCCKCCCCCCTCCGCGCATGGTCCCGTCCGTCCCGCCCCCCTCCGCGCATGGTCCCGTCCGTCCCGTCCCGCCCCCCTCCCGCATGGTACGGCCCTCCGGCATCCCTCAGTACGGCTCGCGGGGAGGCGGGAGTGGAGGTGGCCGCGTGGCCTAATGGATAAGGCGTCTGACTTCGGATCAGAAGATTGCAGGTTCGAGTCCTGCCGCGGTCGCGTTCTGAGCGCTGTGCTAGTGCTCATTTGTTTTGCTCGGCCACTCCGTGCCCGGGATTCTGCGGTCCCGGTACCGGGATCACCGCACTCATCGGTGTTCATTTTGCTCGCGTGTTTAACCGATCGCGGGGAAGGAGGCGGAAGGTGGGACACGGCTCTGGGACGCCCCGGGTGGCGGGGCCAGCACGCACCGCTCTGGTCCTTGTCACCCTGAAAACCCCGAGGATGGGTTGGGGATGGAGCAGGGGCTGAGAGCCAAACATGAGCACAGGGGGTGGGTAATGGGCTGTAGGGTGCAGGCAAGAGGGTGTAGGATGCAAGGAATGGGATGCAGAGTGCAAGGAATGGGATGTAGGGTGGGAGAAATGGGATTCGGGGTGCAGGATGCAGGGAATGGAATGCAGGGTACAGGGAAAAGTGCACAAGTGTAGGGTGATGGAAATGGGTGTTGGGTGCAAGGAATGGTTTGCAGGTTTCAGGTGGGGAAATGGACACAGATGCAGGGAATGGGATGCAGGATGGAGGGCAGGGATATAGGGTGCTAGGAATGGGATGTGTAGGGTGCAGGGCAAAATGTAGGGTGTGAAGAATAGACTGCAGGGTGTAGGGTATGGATGTGGGGTGCAGAGAAAARGCCACAGATGCAGGGAATGAGCTGAAGGGTACAGGGCAGGGGATGCAGAGTGCTAGGAATGGGGTGCAGGGTGCGAGGAAAGGGATCCGAGCTGCAGGGCAGGTGGATGCAGGGTGCGGGAGAAGGGGATTCAGGGTGCGAGGAATGGGATGTAGGTTGGCAAAGAAAGGAAATAGGAGGTGCCAAGGTCCKGACAGGCGGGTGCAGGCTCCCTGGACCCCGCAGGAGCTGTTCTGGCCGGGACGGGGGCTCCCGGCAGAGC